CCCAGGTCGGCTGACCTGTATCTATACAATCAAATTGTGTAAATTGAACTTAATGGATTTGTATTAATTGATACTTTGACCATCTTGAAATGGTACTCTATTTGGCTCTTGACCAACTGCCACGTACGTTCATTCTTTCTACCCATTTATTTTATCAGCCTGTGTTATCTCCATGGTCCATTATCGTCCAGTTAACCCATTACCCTTAATGCACGATACACACAGTATTAACATTGTTTACGCTACTACAGGAAAACATGCTATCACAGGAAAACATGATTATGTCGCACTAATATATATAATATAAAATTCATATCTTGAAATAGTAATGAAACAGGATCATGTAATGATCATGTAATCATTACGTAATAAGGCCATTGTGTTACAAGTATCTGACCAATCAGGAGACTGATTGGCGTGCCACGTGGAGTACTAGGGTACCGACGCGCACGTGAGGGGTATATCGGGTATTCATTCTAGCCGCGGACTTTCAAAGCGTTGACTGCTACAGTTTCAGGGTTAGGGTGAGAACGTATACAATATAGAATATATAATTTACATATTTTCGCTTTTCAGTAAAGGTATTGAAGAAATATAAGTGTGAAAGTATCTAACGACCGGTAGAAATACCATTGTAGACCATTAAAATGCAGGTGCCTAAAATGAATGAACAATTGAAATCCCAGCATTATTTCGGGAGCTTGAAGCAGTTTGGGCTGGTGCACCTCCTCTCATCCCGTATAACGGTTTTGAGGTTGGGTGGCTCGCTTGGTTCTCCTAAGGCTTGTTATACAATGGTAGAATTAGGGTAGCGAGAGGCTAGTGAGTGAGTAAGGGAATGTATATATATATATATAAGAGAATATGACATTAAATGCCGGCTCTATCATCCGCTCGGCTCACATGCATATTGTGGTTGTGTTTTTATGGGAGTAAGGTAGCATAGTAGTATATAAAGGATTAACTCGTGAATAACATAGCTGAGCATAAAACCATATAAAAATGAATTTCTAATGCGGTATCACTTTCCGTCCCTCCATTCATCCGTCTGTCCCATTTCTAGAACAGGTCTTGCTTTCAGTGCAACAACGGAGGTGGGGGGGGGCATCAATCGTGCCCCCGATAAATCTATCGGATCTACCGTGGTGATAAGGACCGTGAAAGTCCGGTCATTTTTGGCAAGAGGCTCTGAATATCAACGTTCATGAAGGAGATGTATGACTCTAAAAACGGAAATTTCTTCAGAGTACGTAGATAAAGGGAACTTGGGTCATAATCACTTGATGATATTTTCAAATACATTGCAATTACCATATTAGGAACTACAGAGAAAAGAACAGGAGTATGTTATACGTTTATATGCATGTGACGATGAAAAGATGATGATATCGAACTGCTGATACCCAGTATGAACGGAAAAAATAGTAACACAATAACACTTATAGCTGCGAGAAAGCAGAAAAGAAGATTTGAAAATTGTATTGTGAAGACGTGTATATGCAAAATAAACCGAAACGTGTACTGAGTGAAATAACATCAGCCATGAAAAGAACTGGGAATTATAACATGTATTTTATATAGAAAGATAACTTGATAGCAGTGAGACTTTTTTGTAACTCTTCCCCATAAAGCATATTTTCCCGCTATTTTTTCCCGCCAAGAAATACAAAGAGGTACCGAATGGGAAATTACCCATGATTCCTAGACAGTCGGTTTACGATGAAGTGATAGTCCATAATACGTATTATAAGGGAATTTTCCATGTTTGGCCTCATTTTGTTCAGATTTACACCAGGATCACGATAATATACCATATGTAATTGTGGGGAACTAGAAAATTCCCCACAAGCTGAACGAACCCCATAACGTTGGTCCTAAGACTGCTGAGAGTTCTCCACAACGTAGCGTAAGCCCCCCCCCCCCCCCCCCCCCCCCCCCTCTCTCTCTCTCTCTCTGTGGATTGCTGTGCTCAAAAACGTCTAAATCTGCTGAATAAGGAATATGAAACCGATATCTTGGGGTTTTCGCTGAGGAACTTGTCATGTAGATGCTGTAAATCGTCATTCAAATGCCTCTTTTGTTTTGTTTGTTTGTTTCTTTTGATTGTTTCTTTCTTTCCGGGGAGGGGGACTGTGGTAGGTTGAAGGCTTTTTCGTGCACCCACAAAAATGTTCGCAAACTGAATTTTAACAGTTGATATTACTCGATGGAAAAAGTGGGCTTTATATATATATATATATATATGATCAATAAATTAATAACGACAGTACGAACAAGTGAATTGTCAAATTTTCGAGGCATACTGTTCCTTTATCAAGACACAAATATTAAATAAATTACATCACATACATAGGACACTAAACAAATACAAAGTTACAAAATTCAATCGAGAGCTGTGGTGTAAATTTAGGTGTACACTTCGGCAGATGGACGCCGAAGACCCTTTATAACGGACAAAAAACCATCCCCATTGCATGTCACACTCCGAGGAAAGTAGTCTATCGGTACATCTCCATCACATTCTAAATGAGGAATCGTTTGATTAATTAAATAAAAAAAAATATTGTATAAAAATAATCAATGTATGTGTAGTTACAATAAAACGTAATTTGATAAAAAAAATCTGTTAAATGCACACAGATAATATATATAAATATTATTTTGAATATGGTTAAATAGGCCTCAGATTCGTCAACTCGCTCCATAAAATTAAAATGTCTACATGATGAGAAATGCTGCAATGTCGTCGTAATGAGATGAAGCCTCGCACAGACACATAGGGAGAGAAAGCTATATGTACAAAAGACGCATAAATACTGCAAGCGACCGAAAACTTCACTATGGAAATGACACTTTCTGGTACAGTCTGCATGAAAATGTCGTGTCTACATAAAGCGTTAATGTCTTCAAAAACGCTTTGGGAACTCGCTGAAAAAACGAGATCTCTTCTATAACCATAAAGTTCAAGCAGAAATAACAATACCGTAAACTTTAATGTACTGCAGTTTAAATCAGTTTAATATCATCATGTTTTACATGTATCCAGAGACATATATAACACACATATATATACGTCAGGCTCTGATGTATCTTTGTTTTTAGGCTAAACGTACTCAGTACTTACAGCCTATTGCGACGGCCTTTCAGACAAAATTTACCGATCCTGGCCTTCTCATTGGCTGAAATATCGAAAAGAGTTAGAGTCCTCTAGCGGTAATTTTCTGCGTAATTAATGCCGCGATCTTTTAAATCGCTATTTTAAAAGCATCCTCAATAAGTTTGGTTTTTAATAACAATACGATTACTATATATTTAAAAAAAGAAGCACAGTGTGGTTGAACTATTGATAAATTTTGAACAATATATTTTACGGAATTTGCTCACGGACATCGAAGAAGATCGAGTCTGCTGTGAATACTCCTAGAAAACAACCATATTAACCGTAAGCAGAGATACGTCTCTGCCTTAAGTAAGCAAAAAAATGGTTTCTTGTATCTTCAAAGTTTATTGTAACTGCGTGACTTCATTTACAGTGTATTTACTGTATGGCGGCTTATGAATCCTTCTCGACATGACGTAAGCGTACAGAACACTGCACATGCGAGTTGGCGCCATGATTAGAAGCTAGTCTGGGGCCTTGGTTTGAACAGAGACATATACAAAACGTCTCTGGTTTGAATTATTAACTAACAGCACTTATAAACAAACAAAACTTACAAACAGAACATCAATTTTGCTTTAATCCTTGTGGCAAGATCGTCTTAATATATAACATCATTTTACCTCATTAGACGTCACAAAATTGGACTGTTCGTCCCACGCGCATACCCGCCGATATGACACTTTTTCTGTACTGATCATGATGTTGACTTTGTTATAACATATTTTTTGTCTTAGTTTTATTTGATGAAGGTTGATTGTGCTGATTTCTCTAGGTTTGTTAATGTGTTTCCAAGTTCCTTGAAATGAAAATATTCCTTCAAACAAAGCGAGTATAAAAAAACAAAATATTCATGTCTATAATTATCAATTAACTAGAACGAAATATTTCCATAACATATTTATTCATTTTGCGTGTCATGGTGACATTATCTAACGCATTGGAGATCAGAAATAGTAGTAGCTATAGTGAAAATATTGTAAATTTTGTATATATATGGAAATCTAGTTTAATCTCATAGAACTATGTCTTTATAGATATAATTACTGGACTAAAATTCTAACCATGATACTTCAAGGAAGATAGGCATGTAAATACATTTAATGTAATTATTTACACTTTTATCTATCTGAAATGCTGTGTGCACCTTACCTACTTTCCTCAACTACAAATTTGATTATAATAAGTAAGGACTATTACTTTGCAATACAATTAAAATAGAGAAGTAGGTATAAAGTTCTTTCGATTTGTCTAAATCCTCATATTGATAGGATAGTAATTGCAACATCTTGGGGATTTCGAAGGTTTTTGTTAAGTCAACTTCATCATAGAGCTATTTATCATTTGGCTTGTTGGCGATGAATATATGGTTGTGTTTATTTTGTTATTTATTTTTTTTTTTTTACCTATTTTGATTTGTTCACATTATTGTCGTCAAATTTGAAATAAGAATTAAAGAAGATATGAAATCGCTTAAGATTAAGGAAAATAGCCTCTGGTTCTCTTATTTTAGTAATTTTTGCATTCCAAAGTGTAGAAGTATGGGGAAAGTAATATAGCTTAGCGGTTATTTGTGAACATTTTTCAATACGTTTAGCCTCTCAGTACTTTCAGTACTTTGATTGAAGTCTAGTATTGCCTAAAGGACTTGAACTAATCATTCATCAGAAATAAACATTAAATCTGTGCGTGCTGTAGCATATCTACAGACGTATATAATGTCCGTGTTATTAAATATTATACATAAAACTGATGCATTGATCCTTTTCCGTAAATAAACGAGAGTCCTGAGTGGTGTTGAAGGAGTTATCTTCCCGGATGTGATTTCCCCTACATCCGGCGAGCATGGTTTGAAGGTTGTATATATGCCAAAATTACTATGGCAAACAACAGAGTCATTGTAAGTATACTTTACAGTCGACGGGATTTCTTTTCTCTGTTTGTAGCTTTCTTTAAATATTTTTTTAAGTCAAAACATCGTTAATGATGATTCACCAGACCAATGCTCGAACACAAAACATAGTTTTTCGCTGTCAGGTTTTAATCTGAATCTTGGACTTTAAAGTGACATGGGATGAATATTTTCAGCTATATCAAAATCATATGGCGTTGTTGATATATTATCGGCCGTGCTAAAACGATACCGGTGTGATGGCGGACATCGAGGGAAGTCGGAACCTATATGTTAGAACAACCCATTAAACAGATTGGGTATAACTCCCCCGTAAGAGTAAAAGTCCTGCATTTGAGGGATAATTACCGCTTTAAGTAATCAATTAGTTACACAAAGAGTGGTAGCTGCAGAGTTAATGTACATACATGCACTTGATGAACACTGGAAAAATAACCCTTTACTGTAACTTCAGGGCTCTCGGTCTGCCAGATTTGGGGCCGAATTCCAATGCAAAATATTTTTTTCCCCCAATTTAGACCCCAAGTTCTCCCAATTCTAAGGAAAACACCATTATTTTTCCCAATTCTAAGGGCCCCGTGCCCAAGTCCCAAAATGGGGTGTGAGAGCCCTGAACTTAGTTAAGCCATTGTACAGAGGAATTATTTCCATTATGCTATGTGTTGATATTGATATGGAAATAGAGGCTACAAGCCTGCATCCATTATTTATGCTAATAAATGCTAATTGAATATTTTTTAAATGTGAACACTTAATAATTTAATACATAAATGGTAGACAGTATGTAAATCTCATTATCTTATTTGAATAGTCAGGGAGAGCCCCAGTTGATGTTTAAAACTACACTGTATAAATCATGCCCATTAAAAGTCATCAACTGGCCTTTCCAATCACAGATAACCAAATAGCAAAAAATCCTGATTATACAGTATGTTTGTGGCAGGAAGAGAAAAAATAACAAAAATATATATGCTTTACTTTTGCAGAAGGCATGGAATATTTGTTACATTAACTTCCATTTTCTTGAATATTAAATTTTATTTGTTTTATGTAGATTTAGATTTCTACGGAAAGTTGAAAAATGTTTATATATTTTCAGCAATGGAACACTTTTTCTAGGATTTGGTGGTTGTATGATGCTAATCACCAGTGTGTGTTCAAGTCGGCAAGAAAAATTGCAAAATACCTCCAAGGTCATCATAAGCCTATCTACCATCCTCATAGTAAGTGATGTTATGTGCTGTTGATAATGTTCTGATGTTTACTCTTAATAACAAAGTGAAGTGTTGTATGATGTCATGGATATATTGATTCCTCATGAAGAAGTGAAAGTCAAACTATATGTGTGCAAACCACCAAATACATCCATGTGACCACAATGGCAAATTCACAGGGTTCACTCAACATGTTATTGAGGCAAAAGGGAAGGGTCTAAAATGGGAACTATACTGTATATAAAATATCACAGTTGAATATTTAAATCTACTCATTAAAATATTTTGTGTGCTTTGAACATATATCAAATGTGTTTTAGTTTTATACTGTCATATTTAGATATGAACATCACTCTGTCTGTTTCTTCTGATCAGTCTGGTCCCCTTCTTTGGTCAGTCTTGAGGGGACCAACCAGACCTGTTTTTTCTAGATTTTTTGATAGCCAATAATGGGCCCCATTCCCAATTGCAATCATTTCATACTTCAGCCAATTTCCAGAAATTTGCAGTTTACTCCAGGAAATTCCCAATTTATCAATTTTCTTCCAAAGAAAATGGAAACAGTATTTTTTATATTGTACCAGTTAAGTTTGGTATAAAAACCCTTGAGGTGTCTTGCTTTGTTTTCATTATATTGAAATTTACATATTTACAAATATAGCATAATGTACATGAATATATATATATATATATATGAAAATCTAAGTTAGTTGTATTTTATGTGTTAAGAATGTATGGCATATGTAGTTTGAGAGTATTTGTGTGCTCTAGAAGTGTTGAGGGTGATAATAGTTGAGTTGTAAATGTTGTGATATGATTTCATACTATATTGATTGAATATATGTAAAAAATGTGATGACAACTGTGAGGGTGCTTAGGGAGCTTGAAAAGTATACAAAAGGTACTGGCTGGTATATACCTATGTTTGATGTATGTAAGTACTCTGTTGGTATTTCTTGTCAGTTGGTTTAAATTTGTGTTGCTGTGAGTTGTACATATTATTGTATTTAGTAAATAAAGATTAGAAGTTGTGTAAATATTTTACTTCCAGTGTTTTTGTATATCATTCAATACAAAGATGCTTAAAAGGCAAGCTTGAACTTGGGTTGATCTAAGCAATGTGACTGTATTTCAGAGTTGGGTAGTAGTGAAAATAAAACTGTTACATATAGATATCAAATTACAACCACATACCTCTTGCTTTTAATGAAAAAAATATTACTTGTTGTTTGCAGGTGATGTTGGTGACCATGTTGTTGTGATCAACACCAAACATATTGCAATGAGACATGAAGCATGGAGAACATACAGATTCCACCATCACACAGGGTAAAGTTACACTTTTGAAACAAATTATCAAACTTATCAAACAATTTCTAAAAAGAGACACTGCATTGTTTAGTTACTTAAGTACTCATTTTACTCTGCAGGGATAAGCTACTACAGTAACCCGTGTTGGGTTAAATTTCTGGAATAAGAACGGCTTACCTGCATGAACCCGAGGAGTGGGGATCTATTGTTTTGCGTTTTATCTGTCCATACTTGGCTTTGTAGGAAATTTATATCCTAGACCAAATTTTACACAAAAAAAAAAGACCCAACATCGCACATATACCTCCACAGAAAGGATGCTAAATGTGTTTGGAAATAAGTTCATGCATAGTTGCTGCTGTTATTTTATAAATACATGTATATGAGATATATTGATTAAAAAGTTGGTGAAAAAAATGTTGAATATGTTGTGTTTTAATAACATCTTGGAACTATTTCATGTAGATATAACTATGCTTCTGTTCTGTTTGGAAGAAAATCATATCGTCTGCATGCACTGTTTGATTAGTCTCCCTTTGTTCATACGTTCAAGGTTTCTTTTACACTAGTTATTATAAGGTCTTAATGCCACAACATAACTAAGAAGATGTTAATTTTATTCTATGGAAGATATCAGTGTTGCATAGATGATAATACATATTTGAAAGGGTAACTGATTTCTGACATAATTCTTAAGTATTCTTAAGTTTGTATTTAGTTTCAATTTTTGTAGGCCTACGTCCACAGACTTTCTGAGATTAAGTTTCTTACAATATTTTTCAAATAGACATTTGAAATACCATTCCATTTTCGATAGAAAATTATATAAATATGATATCAAAGATTTAATTGAAATGTTTGTGAAAACTTTGATCTGAAACAACACTGACTTTTGATGATAAATTCTGTGGTAAATTTAAACTCTATTCATAAGCATGAACGAGAAAATGATTAAGATGGTGAAAGATGTATTGTTTAAAGAAATAAACTGTGGTCAGCAAACTACATAGATGTGTACAAAGCAATTTCTAGATTAGATTAGATCAAATAAGAATAGGTTGTGCTAGTAAAGGTCAGTAATTATTTTAATTTTGGCGACAAATCTGATTACATGAGCATGTTTTGTCTATGCTTATAACCCTTATTATGAATTTACACCATATCATGAAGGACAAGTTTAAATGCTTGGGCAGAGGCCTATATGATTTTTTCTTATATCATGTTATATCTGTCTTGTAAACAGGTATACTCTATACATCCTTGTGATAATTTTGCATGTGTACAAACACAAGTAAGGATTTATCAACTCGTTTTCCATTGAAATGAAACATATTGTGCAGTCTTTGTTGATTGTATCTGGAATATCTTGAATATTGAGTCTGTCCAGTTGAAGTGTTAAAAACGTTTTGATCCATGCTTCTTCTGTATGCAGTCTGATTTTTGTGTTGTTTACTGTGATTGTCACACCAGTATGGTGACGTCATCAATTTTGTGATGGTTTTGCTGTAGTGGAGCGATACTTAATAGTTGACTGGCAGTGTCTACTGAGTTTTGGGATGCTTTGACTTTTTGCTGTATAGCTTTTTCTTTATAAATTTTCTATTGGATTTGTTGATCTGGTTGCTTTTGTTTGTCTAGTTCATTAGGAACAGCGGTTTTAGTTGATTCTAACAGAATTTTAATTTGGCAGTGTCTGTTTGTTCCTCCACAATTTTGGAAATATCCTCTAATTCTTTATTTACAGACCTATCTCATTGGTACCAGTATTCTACTAATAATTGAACTAGTACCAGATTAAAGGAAATGTGAGCATATTTCTCATTTAAGTAGAAAACTTCCATTAGTATCTGGAAGTTGCGGGTACATTGTGGTTCCTCAAAGATCTTGATATTAACCATTCTTGTAGGAAGTTAGTTAGGTAGTCCAGATGATGCTAATGTCATGTAGATTTGATGGTGAGTTTGCCAAAGTTTTAAAGTGGGTTATATTTTGTGGATATTTGTTAAGGAAGTGCAGTGGGATCATCTTGTTTTAAACTTCTCCTACTGAAGTATCATTTTGCAGTGCGTCCATGGTATCACCATCCATTTCTTTCCTTTTGGCTGGTTTGGTGTTGATGATATCACTTACCAAATCACTTGGACCTTTAGTAGAGAAAGTCCCTTCAGCCATAACCTATGGCACTAGCAGTGGATCCCTACTGGGATGCAGGGGTTCTCAGCAAAGCATCTATGGTGAATGATGTATCTGTGTTGGTTGAATTATGTATCTGTGGTGATTGAATGAGAAATGTATTTATGGTGATATGTTGTATATTTTGTAGCTGTGGTGATTGATGTATCTTTATCAATTGCAGCTATCCCAAGGGACATTCTATGACAGCTGCCTGGAGACTTCATGACCTGGACCCGACACGGGTAAGTAAGAAGTCCAAAGGTATCACTAAGACTTAATCACCTCTGATCACAATAGCTGATCACAAAAGGTCATTCAAGTTTCAGACTGCTTCATAAATTAATTACTGATCATATGGGGAATTTTTTGGAGTGCTGAAAAGGAAAAAAAGATGATGTAAAATTTTGCAATTGTCTCTTAATTAATTCAATTGTATAAAAAAGATTCCATACACAAAATATTTTATTGAGATTTTTTATTTTAAAGAAATACCTTTAAACCAAGTCAGTTATGTATTTGTTGGTACATGTACATGTGTAACTAATTTAACCAAAACTAAATAAGTTGATATCTGTGCTTGTGTACTTATCTTTATTTACTTTCTTTCTTACCTTACGCTGATTTTGATTTTTTTTTTGCACCCTTTTTTTAAAAAATATTTGCTTTCCCTAGTCAAAATATGTGTTATTCTTGCAAAATGAAACAAACTTGAAGCCAATTTTCTCAATTTTTCAGATAGTTCTTACATATTTTCCTAGTTTACGAAGATACAGACAAAAACAGTGCCATCAACATGGAATTCTGGCTGGGTTTAAACAAAAATGTTTTTTCTTGTTATAGTGATAAAGAAACACTATTATATATTAACAAATAAGTTTTAAGTGTCACATTTATCCAGCGTAGGTTTTCATCATTTTGATGTAACAAGGGAAGTAACTCATGCTTGTTTACAGATTTTACAATTGACAGTGAAAAGCAGTTTACCGTCAAATCTCCTTCGACCAAACCTTCTAAGGAGGCTCCACCTTTTTCCAGAGGAGGTAAGGTTACATCACTAGAGTAATTAGTCTGTGGACTTGATTCTGTGGAACCAGAGGAACATGATAAGTGTTACCATGTATATAAGAATTTATTTATGTTTCTTAATTAATTAAAGTTTACATTCAAGGTTAAAAATTGTATACATAGAATGTAATTGTGAAGTTTCATAATTGTTTGACATGAAACCACATTCTTGGATATTTTCCCATATTATGTCGAATGCACTTAACAGCCAATCTAAATGTTTTCATTGTACATAGATTTGAACAACTTATAACTATTAAAAAGTTTAATAATGCATACATTGAATATTATTACACAAAGTTAGGATATAATTTTCAATAGATTAAGCTGTTTTGAGAAGATTTAGCTTCACAGTAATTAAGAAGTAAATCAAAGCAATTAGAACGATGTGTAAGCAATGTTTGGATATGCAAGTTTTAGATGAAAAAAGAAAACTCAAATGCATCATTTATTTTCGAAGCAGTTAAAAAGTTTTTTAAAAAGTTAAATGTTTAAACAAGATTTGGAAAATGTCGTTATATAACTGTGGTTTATTGATCCAACTTTTGTAGGATGTACCAGAGGACATTTTAGCCAATGTGTGTGACCAGATCAAACAAGTACAAGTGGTACCAAAGAGTCTTGACCAATACACTGAAGAGGAAATCAAGAACTTCCCCAAACTTTTTGACTGGTGCGTATTACAAACATGTGAAGCATACTCTTAGTGTTAGTTGTAGTGGGGGAAAGGAGTCCAGCATTGGGGTCAACATCAGCGTTTATCTTGAATTATATTTTTCTCATAAAGTATAAGGGCCATACCCACCAAAACTGAAATAGATTGGTACTTTCATCAGATCTTGTACATTTTTAACACATGTCTCAGATTCTGAATTGTGTAAATATTGACAGTGCACAATATGAAGCATGTCACTCAGGGTGAGCACTGTTTCTTTCATAAAAACTTATGACAAAGCCCCAAGTGACCTATTGCAATCGCCTTTTGTCT